GGCGGGCCCCCACACCCACCCCGCCCGCGATTTACGACATGGTGGCTAACCCCCCTACCTCCACCCTCACCCGCCGCCCACGGCCGGGCTTCACACGGCGCCCTCCCCGCAAACGTCATCGGCACTTCGACGCCGTGAGCACCTCTCCAGCACAGACCCACTCCTCAAGGCACGCGTGGGAAGGGGAGCGTTAAAGCCATTTTGAGAAACGAGGATTCATGTGTTGTTATTTCAAAATTTAAAACATCCAATTGAAGAATCCAGAATTGAAGGAGTGTAATGAAATGACAAACAGGTCGAATACACCATTGTAGTGAGTTCGGTATCTCGAAGCAATATTATGGTCTCGGGGGCGTTATGAGTTAATGGATCCTCCAACAGTGACAAGGTGCTGTCGTTTTTAGGTAAAAAAACTACCGTAGAACTGAAGAGGCGGCGTGTTTCACCCGGATACCTAATTTTACATTCATCATTTTATTTTATTTATTGATCTTCTAAGAGCTCTGAGTTGGGTACAGGTTTTAATCATAAATCAATGCGACATTGCAACGGAGCGGCGGAGAAAAATGGAAGATAAAGTTAATAAAACACGTTGTTCCGGAAAGCTGCCTGACTGACTGTGTACTGTGGCATAGGGATGGTCGAAACGATAAAATGAACACATTATACTCTCTTCTTGGGAACAAGAGATGGAAATATAGCAATTTCACGAACTGAACTTCCCGTTTTACTTCTCCAAACATTGTTGCTTTCGAGTAAAATTATGATAATACCACGCGAACAAAAAATGTACGCTCTCCAAAAGCAAAAAACTTTCGTACGAAATTCTACCTTCAAAACCTTGCAGACAGTCCTAGACTACTGTCGATTCGAGGAAGCGGTGAGTTAACCAGTCGCACTTAGAAAATGTGTGTCTTGGTAACTGGAGCAAAATCCCCAGAGGCGGAAAGGACGCTGCCTCGGAGACGAAGCCTCATTTGTTCACGTGTGAGGCGCAAATACCGTCATCTCCTATGGATGTTGGTAGAAAGATTTTGAATTTGCTTACACCATTTCGGAAAAATATTGGTGAGCTGGTTTTCCAGTCGTGTTGGTGTTAATAGATCAGTAAATATTTACCATTTAAGCAACAATTAAACTAATATCTTACAATCAATTTGCAATTACTATCAAAATTGCAAATTTGAAGTGCAATTTTGAAGTGCAAGAGACGACGAGGACACACAAAGCGTAAATTGGCTGTTACAATGATGGTGAGGGTATTAGAGACTACAGGTAATGATGCAATTGACATATTCTTTTTTTTATAATATATCTTTATTAGTGAACGAATATACATATTTCAGTATTATTTATACTACATCATATGTATTTTTTATGACTTATATTTAACTTAAATGCTAATCTTACAACTAAATCTAACTACACATGAATAGGAAACTCACAGAGCACCTACAGACATATTCTGTCTCCGTTTTCGTATAAAGTCACTCATTTCGTAGAGTCATCCGTGCCACTGAGAAATTAGGCACTTTTCCACCCAAAATAGACATTATTATAAATAATTTAAATCGATAGTTATATATTATTACGCGTTTCTAATAATGTCAATTTTTCGGAAGATGTGCCTTTAATTTCTCAGTTGCAAAGACGGCAACCTGTCTAAAAGAATGAGTTACCACCACCCCGTTGACAGAAAATGTGAATTGCATCGCTCTACGGTCTGTGACTCCGGTGCCCTCCCCGCCGTTGTTTGCAACCAATTTACGAGTTGTGCGCCCTCGCCGTCGCCGTCGCCGGCGGCTGCGTCGTGGGCGGCGTCGCGCATGCGCAGGACACGCCCACGCCCTCGAGCGAAGCGATAATTTGTACGACAACTCCCCCACGCGTGGGTGGTACGATGCTGATGGCCGATCACTAGTGTGCAGTTCTTGAATGCGCGACCGCATCTGCATTCTATTTCTCTATGGAGAACTGATTGATTAGTGATTCGGGCGCGTCAACTAGCGTGGTCATTATGCCCGTAAGTGTAGTGCATGTTTTATCGCGGGAGGTGGCGGTGATCTTTCCCCACTGGATGGCGAGAATCGGCGCCGACCTACTCTTCGGTTTGCGGTGGTTTTCTCCAACCAGATACCTTCTACCAACGGGTCACAGCCCTAGGTGAAACAAGCTCTAACTCCCCGACTGGTCTCCCTGCATGAGCGGTAGTGTAGTGATGTAGTGTAGACAGAAATTATTTACACGTTTTCGAGGTGAGAAACTGGAAGATACGTCTCACAATCTTCAAGGAAAATGGATTATAAATAAATGTTTGGTAACATCAGTAATTTGTGAATTCATATTTAATGTACGGCAAAAGTATTTTTAGTATGAAACATTAAAGGTTGTGCTTTAGAAAAGTTCTCGTGTTCACAGCACTGGTTGAAATTTTGTTTTAATTTTTTAAGCTTCTCCAAGCTGATCATATATTCATTAAAGTTTCTAAATGTTTAAAATACGATTTCTAATTTCTTCGGACATCTTGAGTCAACAAAGAAACTATTCATCTTATTGTTTAAGTGATTAATTTTCCTGTGCATCGTAACATTTATTCTCCAACATTTCCTGTCATCACATTAATATTAATCTTGTTCTGAACTTTAAGAAGAAGAGAAAGTATATAGTTCCTTTACTGGAAGGATAATCTTTTTTTATCTGATCTCGGGTCTTTTGCTGGAACCTACACTCGCATGGAAGATAACGATTTCTATACTTTCCAAACCGATGCTGGCGTTATGAAACATTTCCAAATACGTAACTTAATTCATTTGACAGGTAATATTGCGCTACCTTCGTATTTACTGAGTTTCCTACCTATAATAAATCTGCCAGGCCCTGTTTACATTAAGAATTCATTTCCTTACGAGTCCGTCCCTAATGCAAACGTGAGAGCGAAAACGCAACGAAATAATGGGGAAGTGAAATATTAACGAAGTTGATCTTTTATTTTGACGCAATATATTAACGATCCAACGTAACTCTGAAGTCACAGTTAAAAGTATTTGTCATATTCATATACATCTCAGTAAGTCATATGTAATATGTTTATTATATCATGTTTTAAGAATACGTGGAAATTTTTACTTTTTCGACTATACGTTCTGAGGAGGAAAATAATTGGATTCGGTTAAAAAGTTTTCAAGGTGGAGATTCGGGTGGTAAAAGTCGTTTTCGGTGTCCTTGAGGCAACAAAGTGCTTTTACATTCTCTTGCACTTCGTGTCGAGAAAGTGATATAAAGATATCGACAAAAAATATTATGTTTTGATAGAAAAATACGTTTGTAAGATAATATACTCACAGAGGGGCTATAAAATAATAAAAAAGTAATTATAGCTCACACAATTGTTTATAAATATCAGAATAATTATTGTGAGTCTTTAAGATGGCCAATGGGCAGCATACTACGTTTCCATGGTGTGATCCCGGTTTCGATTCCCGGGCGAGGCAAAAAATGGAGTTGTAGCGTTCGTTTAAAACCGTCCTAGGTGCTGTAGCATGCGACGAAGAAATGCGCAGATAGGCGGATATTTCCACTTACGGTGAAGGAAATACGTCATGTTTGCCACATGTTTCTTTTACCTCCCATGAATGGCAATGTTGATAGTCCCAGGCATGGGGGACACAATTAGCTGACCGGCAAAGTCGAACTATCGACCCAAAATGTATACATACATCATACATACATATTTATTGTGAATACTTCACCTTCACTATCGAAGAAAAAAATGTGTGTCGTAGTGGAGCGTGAATGGATAACGGGTTGCCATTTTAATGTTCCTGCAGCACAATCAATCATCAGCATCCAATCACATGTGTTTTCTTATTTTTTGTCAGTCTTCTTTCGGAATGCCTAACTTCCCATCTCCTAAAGAGAATATTCTTCTTTAACTTACCTTAACTTTTCCTTAACTTTCGCACTATCCGAATTCACATTCTGCAGAAACTCAATCCTCAATTTAAGAATCAAAAACAAATATCCATTTCACGTATTCCTCAAAATGTTCTTCAAAACAGAATAAACAGATATGTCTCAATAGATTTCCTCAACCTCTTTATGTTACCTGTAAATAATTAATTATAATTTACCATTAAGTCACGAACACTTGTGATAAAGTTGTAAAAACTGAACCACGTAATCATCTTCAAATGAAATAAATAAATTTTTGTAGAGCATAATTATACAATTGTTAATAATAATGGGGGAGTTTGGCGAAGATATGTCAATAGAGATCATAATAATGTTTCAGTAAATCAGTTAATAGTAGAACAGTGTTTCTGTAAACCAAATTTCAACGATAAAGTTTTTTTATAGGATACTAGTTGGGATATTTCTCAGAGATTCTTGTGTATGTACAATTAACATTCCTTTGCAATATTTATTTCTTCCGGTTATACACATATATTTTTCAGTGAACTCTCTTTATCAATGAACAATAAACTTAACGCCTTTTATTATACATTATTGTTATTATTAAATTGATATGTTATTTTTCCTGATTAATGTTTTGACGTTTCAACCTCATTAATTAACTGTATTTCCTAGTGAGTTTTATTAATTTATTATTTAATAAAATTATTATTTTCCAAGTTTATTATATGGTGGATCAAACCACCCACCGTGGGTTGAACATCCTTTACATCTGCATGTTGGATATAATACAGTGTATACCAAATTAAGGTGATATGCAAATATTTTTTTTTATATTTAAAATATATTGTTGTAAATTTTTGTATTTGTATTACTCCATTTTTATTGCTAAACTGCCACCTAGCTTAGTCTAAATTGCAGTAATAAATTAAATTTTCATGTAATAAAATTTAGATACAAGCTCCTTTGGCACATGAGCCACCAGGATGAGATAGGAAAGGTGATGCATCTAGGGTGGGAAAGCCTTTCAGTCCACGACACCAGGAAGAGAACGCTCATACCTATGCAGGAATCTAATATATCACTGTATGGATCCCATTTACATCAGCCCTACTTTCTTAGGGATTGCAGTCGTTTGGATCGGCTTCAGTCAGTTTGTTACTGGCAGTGAAGCAGAGAAAGCTATTGTTCCAAAAGAAGATAAAGAAAAAATAACATATTTTAAATTAAAAAATTGTATATTTTATTATTTTTTAATAATAATATAAATCTTCAGTTACTGAAATGAATTTTCGTTTTTGCAGATCTACACCGGTCCGGAGCAGTGAATGTCGTCTATCTTCTTAAGGTAAGTAAAATAATAATTTTCAACTGCACTTCTTAAAAAAATAGTTAATTAAAATACACTGGTATTTCCTTGTGTTATCTGTGAAGTCGTCTTCCAAGAATGTCTACAAAAGAGAAAAAAGAATCCTAGCTTAACCGATGTGATACGCTATTTGTTTGCTCACTTCCCACCGAAAAGAACACGTTCGTTATGCCCCCCCGCCCCCCACTTCGAGAAATAAATTCGAGAGAAACAACTTCCGTCACGGGAGGTGGCTAGGAATCCCCCGCGCCGACTCAGAATTTAGTGCGAAGCTTTAAACGCGCGGCGCGCGTATCGGCAGAAACGGGCGTTAAACTTTCAAGCGATTCCCGCTTCTAAAAAAAACACACCTTCCCCGCCCCGCTCCGTGCCGCACCTCCGTTTCGGCGGGCGGCCGTAAAACTGGTTCGTTTGGGAGGGGGAGGGAGGGAGGGTAAGCGAGGGGAGGGCGTGATGACCGCAGCGAAAGGGAAATGCACCCTAAATCAAATTACTCAGAGCAGACAAACAAAGGGGTCTCCAGTCACCACCAGTGCGTTCTCCGCCCTTTCTGGGGTCGTTCGTTCTGCAGAAAGCACGCAACGGGGGAGGACGAGGAAGAGCATGCGTGGCCTCGCGATAGCCGACGGGAAGTTAAAAAAAATATTTTTGAGATTAACAATAATTTAATGTATGTTTTTATCATATTTTATTTGCAAGTTGTCTGCGAACAAACTTTTGGAAAAAATTGAATAAATTTGTGCATACAAGTATACTTGAGAGAAGAAAAGTCCATTGACCGTACTCCACTAATATTACATTTTTATTAGTTAATAAGCGGCCCAAAACATGTTTGATAAACATACAATAATAAATAATTAGAACACAAAATTTCTAAAATGAACGGTTTACAGTCGGTATGCGAGGTCTAAAGTATGATGTCGTTGAAGTCGTCTGGTGGTGTCACTATTATGTGGTAAGTTGATGGCTAGAATATTGGGATGATTATATAGTCGTTGTAGGTAATTTTCACTGATCTTGTTGATTTCTTCTTGCATTGATGGTATCAGTAAGTCTTTATGTATTGTTGGGTTCGTTATTTTTGCTACAGGGTTCTTACAAATTTTCTTAAGGCTTATTGTCCAGAAACGTAATATTTTCGTGTTGAGATTTTGAGCTGTTCCCCAAAGTTGTATGCAGTATGGTTTTAATATTGCTTTGTACAAATTACTTTGATTGCGATGCACAAGCTTAAAGATGATTTTCTTCCCAGTAGCCAGTTTACCCTTATAAGTTTTATTGTGGGATTTCTGATGAGGTGATGTTGACGTAATTACATGAAGAAATAAAATATGTCATCTCCGTCAATTTAATGTTAATTAGAGGCCGGCTTTCAGGAGCTTTTGATAGCTATCAACGGCTTTGCCGTCATCATCAGTTTCGCTGTTTTGGCAAAAGTCGGGAGACAGTGCCAGAACATTTCTTCTAAGTTTCAGTTATAATTATTTTCTTTTTTCCTTAATGTCATTAAGTGTGGGTTAAGAACGTCTAATTCTTGATTTATAAATTCCAAAAACTTATTTTTGAGGCATCAAAATTCTTCATGTTACATTCGCGGGGTGGGATAACTCGAATTTTTTGTCGTTGGCGGATTTCTAAAATAGCCTTTCGTGGTTCTGGCAATGAAATAATTCTGAAAATGGAAACCATTAGACTTTCACCACACGTTGGCATTAGAATCTGCTTTCGACCACTATTTCAAGAATAAAAAATAGTGTCTCACCAGTCTTGGGCTTATTTTTCACCCATTTCTCCAAATCCCAAATCCACCCGAAAACAGTAGTCGTCCTTCCCCCAGGAATTCGTGTGGTCTCGGCGCAAATATTTAGGGCACCTACAAGAAATGTCGATGATGCACGGAGCGCCAAATATCACAAAACTTGTTGAGGTATGCAAAAATGCCTTCTGCTCTTTCCGCGATACGATCGGCTATCAATTGGTTCTACTGGCGATGTAACAATGTGAACAAACTGCGTCTGAGAAATTACCTTAGTTCTTAATAACAAAGCTTGGCGATACCTGTTCGGACAGTGCTGAGCCCTGCTAGTCACGTTGCGAAGCAGTTTGAAAATGTTACTCTGAGAAACATTTCTTTTCTCTCTGTAATGATGTTCGCGGGTTATTGAAGGAACTTTTTACTATCTTGAGCAAGCCACTTTTGAAATGCATACTCTTAACTCTTAAATTATGCCAAGAAGAGCTTCTAATTCTTTTATTTGAGGCTGGGCGTCAAATTTGAATTAATTTCTGGTGTTACATTAACACAGTATTCATTTCCTCTAAGACGTTGAAGGATATAACATTTTTTCTATAAATTAATAGATAATAATTAATTTGAATTCTCCCTTCGATGACTATTGTCTCTTTCATGTCTGCGGGTGCTGGTTACCGTTCGTGGCTTACTAGCCCGACTTGGGGAAGATGGATAGAAACGGAAGATACCTCACGTCGCATTTTATGATGGGTGGACGGTATTCACCTGGAAGCGATCAGAGAAAATAACGGAAATGATTAGTGCAGTTAATCTAAGAAGTCGATCTCACTAGACGCCACAAACTCGCTGCCATTCAACATATTAAGTAAACGTCCAGTATCGAGCCGCGGTCCAAAAGCCATTGGCGGTCTTACGGAACGCACTACTAATTTATATATTACTTAGAGCTATATTCTGTTTCCTATTCGTCTTCATTCAACCTACAACAATATTATTAAATTCAACAATATTATTAAATACGAATGCAGTGTTGATTAATTACAGCGCCTGTTTTGACATTTCCGGGACCTGCATCTACCACAGGATGCAGTGAAGAAGTGGAGATAAATGCTTTCCATTGAGTATCGTCTTAGCTCTCTCTACCTCTTTCCTTTCTCTCTCTTTTCTCATTTTTCTCTTTCTTTCAATCTTTTTTCTCTCTTTTTCTCTCTTTTTCTCTCTTTTTCTCTCTCATTTCTCTCTCTTTTTCTCTGTCTCTCTTTCCCTTTCTTTTTCCTCCTCTTTCTTTTCTCTTTCTCTCCCTCCCCTCTCTCTCTCTCTCTCTCTCTCTCTCTCTCTCTCTCTGTCTCGCCCCTCGTCAACATCCACCTTCCCGTTTTTCTTTTAATAACGTTGGCTGGCCACATATCCAAATTCCCTATTATATATTTCCCTTCCCTTTTGTGCATCTGCCATCTTCCCCCCCCCCCCCGCTGCGGTCTCGCCCCGTGCTCTCCGGCCGTGGCGGGGAGTGAGGTCGCACCGAGGCCCATGATGTATGGGAGGAAGCGCCCCATTACTTTTATGGGTGGGCGCGGCCGTGCGCCAGCCTTGGGGTCGTTGCGGGCGGCGATACATCGCCCCGTGACAATACGCGCGTAATTTTAACTAATATCGCTCACCAGCAACGGCTGCGGTGGCACTATTTCCACGAACCCCCAGAGGTTCGTGAGCGGGGTGGGGGGCGAGAACGAGGGTGCGAACCGGAAGGGAAACACCGGAAGATTCCCTCGGGGGTTGTATTCCGGGCGCTGTGGGCGTGGCT